AGCCATTTGTCTCTGTCTCTTTCATCGTCTTAAATCCACGTACCTATCTACACCTCTCCTACTTAAAAAATTGCCTGCCTTCCATGTCAAAAATTATTTCAGAAGAAAAACCCAACTTCTGTGCCAGGTAATTTTTTTTTATTAAAAATGTTAAATTTTTATTAAAGGCTACAAAACCCACAATCTAACACAGTCTTACAAAACTATTTCATACTGTTAAGAGAACATCTTGGTTCATATGTGCTTTGATATGGGCCCACTGATGTCTGTCATGGGACAGGATCTGTCTGAGAGTGTGGCTCTTACCCTCTTCTGATTCTTCACGATGAAGTCCATTCTTAGTTACTTTCCTCCCTGGTGCTCAGGTCCTGTATCTGAGGTCCCTTCCCACTTGTGAGAGTCTCATCATTCATCATGTCTCCTTGGGGTTGGCTGTGCCATGACCACCCCGAGTCAGTGTGAAGCCACATGGAGAGCACACTTGTAGTCAAGAGTCCCTTACTCTGCTGGCCCACTGTCTTGACATGTTGCTGTTGAGAGTAGGACTTAGAGAACCCCTTTAAAAGTAGCTTTGTGGGCTGGAGAGATGGCTCAGCGGTTAAAAGCACTGGTTGCTCGTCCAGAGGTCCTGAGTTCAATTCCCAGCAACCACATGGTGGCTTATAACCATCTATAATGAGATCTGATGGCCTCTGCTGGCATTCCGACAGAACACTGTACATGTAAGAAATGAATAAAATAAATCTTAAAAAATCCTTAGTTATGTTATGTAAACATGTTTTTAAAAAAAAGTAGCTTTGTATTTTTTTCCCTAACCTTCTGAGGGAGAACTTGTCTAGAAAAATAAATTATACTCAGGTGGACTGGACTGATATAAAATTGGTCTAAAACTATGGAAAATAGTACTGAAGAGTTAGGGAAATGCCAGCTGGAAATGTTAAGTGCAGCAATTTAAAAAGCACACTCCAGACTGCTGAATTAACCCATGGTAAAAGTTTAGAGTCTTAAGTACATATAGCGTTCTCTTTAAGCTGCAGTTGATGTCGCCAATAATAGGAGCAGTCCTGGTGCAGACATACGTGTCTTTTTGTGTAGGTCTAGTTAACAGGACAGACGTCGAGACCACATGATGACTCAAAAGACTTCAGCAGTTTGACTGTCGGGTCACTATGCCAACCAGATGGACAGCGTGAAGGTTGTGCCTTCCTATCCTCCCAGCATAGCCTTCCTGTCAGGTCAGCCTGTGGAACAGGAAGGACCAGGAGAGAACATTCTTGTCCCTACAATGTCCGGAGCCCTATCTCTCCACACTCCACCACCTCTAACTGAACTTAGGCACTTGAGTTTCTTCTCTTTTGGAGATTTGGAAAATAATAAAGGTGTCTAAAAATAATTAGCTAGGAAGAAAAAAAAAAACAAACTAGAAAATCATGCATAGGCCTAGGGGATGGTTATGTCAGATACCTAACAAAAATACCTAAGGTTTCCTTTTCCTAAGAGACAGTTCTGCTTGATCATTAGGGCCTAATGATTATGTGATTGTGTTATTGATTGCTAGTCAACACTGGTTAACATCACATGGCAACCAGCTGTCACCTCATGGTGTGAGAGGTGCTTACTGCTGCTCTTTCTGTGTGGTTTTGTGTCACCAAGTTTGCTTCTTGGGTAGAGTTTTGAGTTTGTCTTCCCTTTTTGGACTTACCTATTTAGGCAACTCTGGTGAATCCTGCCTCAGTCTACTCTAATTTCCTTTGCCTTTTTGCTTCTGTGTGTATTAGAAAAATCAATTACCAATCAATCTGTTCTCCTCACATCCTTTACATTTCACCTTATCTGTGTTACATTTGTTTCTGAATAAGAAATGCACCCTGATCATAGCTGAAAATGTGTTCATTAGTATGTTGTCATTGCTATAAAATACATGGCCTTTGATTTCCAAAGAACATTCCTTTTGACAAAACAGATCTTAGAATGCAAAAACTATTACATGTAATGAAATGCCAGGGTGCAGTGGAGGTTTAGAAGGGAAAGGTGAAGATGGATTGCAGAGTGCTGACCTCCATAGAGGTGAATGCTGAAGTTTTGAACACCTAAGCTATTGGAGTTCATCAGTCACAGCTTCGTGGAAAGTGTGCCTATACAATAGCAGAAGGGCCATCAGGGCGAGGCTGGCATGGCTGCTGATTGTGGACTTCTGCTCTGTGCTTTCTTTTTCTGTCAGACTCATATGGCAGGGCCTCTTTTTACCCCCACAGCAAATCGGTTTCACATTTAGTGCATCATGTAAATGGGACCTGTCTTCTGTCTTGTGCGTCTGCTCGTCCCCTGTGCTCTGGCGTCCTGGTTCTTCTGCTCAGCGTGCTGCTCAGGCATTGTCCCCAGTTTAGACATCGGTAGTTCATTCTTGGGTATGACTGGTAGTCTTACGCTTAGTGGGTTGCTGGTTTTGCTTGTTTGATGGACGAGGTATTTGGTTTATTCTCCCGCGAGGCCTTCTAAAAACTGCTGTAGGGTTTTGTGGAGTCCTGTTGGCCTGGTGTCTTCTGCCGTCCATCCACTCTGAAGCCGCTGCTGTGGCTGTGGAAGCTGGCCTCTGGTGTTCAGCTGCACCACTGAGGGTGCCTCTCCCTGAAGCAGTGTGCCTGGGGTAGCCTTGATTTTAACATTTGGCTAGACTTAAGTCAGAAAACATAACAGAACTTCTGGAAATGGAGTTTTGGCTCTTGAGACAGCTTCACATCATTTTTATTTCATTCTGTTGTCACTGGTGATCAGAGTCTGGACCGGGTGTTTGTACCTCTTCTCGAAAGAATTGGAAACCAGAGCTTACACAGGTTTGCAAAAGAAGCAAGATAGCTTTATTTGGAGGAATGGGAGAAAAGCCACAGTACAGGTTATAGAAGGAGACATTGTCTAGATTGACAGTGGGGCCTTGTAAGAAAGAGTACTCAAGGACCTCAAGTACTGTGTGAAGCTTCCTTTCAGTGGTGCCCAAGAGGAGGAGGAGGAAGAGGAGGCAGAGGAAGAAGAGGAGGAGAAAGAGAAGGGGGAAATGAGGAAGAGGAGGAAGAAGAAGAGGGGGGGAGGAGGAGAAGTTTGGCTCTTGAGGGGTGTGTTGCTTTGGATAGGAATGGCCACCATAAACTCATAGATTTGAGTGCTTGGTCCCCAGAAAATGGCACCGTCAGAAGGAAGGAAGTATGTCACTGGGGTGTAGGCTTTGGGGTTGTATAAGCTCAAGCTGAGCACAGTGTTGCTGTCTTCCTGCTGCCTACTGATCTGGCTATAGACTCTTGGCTCCTTCTCCAGAACCATGTCTGCCTGCATGCTGCTGTGCTTACTGCCATTATGGTAACTGACTGAACCTCTGAACCGTAAGCCAGCCCAAATTAAATGTTTTTCTTTGTAAGAGTTGCAGTTGTCTTGTTGTCTCTTCATAGCAATGAAACCTAATTAAGACAAAGGCTGTAGTGAGGATAGTTCTCTGTTTTTATTGGTGGGTCATATGTTGTTTTTCTGTACATTGATTTCTGTACATCATCCTAAAAGGTTACTGAAGGACATAGTGTTGTCTTATTGTGCATGAATCCAAAAGCAGTTCAGGCTGGATTGGTTTTTCTAGTCTTTTATTCCTGGATACACTGGGAATGCACTTGACTAAAATTTTGTAAATGTGCTTGTTGCTATGGTGGAGAAATATAGTGTTATGCAGAGATGGGAGCATGGACAGCCATCTGTGGGGTGGATGGCTAAGGGGGTTCTGAGGTTGAAGAGTGGAGCTGTGTACGTTCAGGGAAAACAACTAGGCTGTCAAGTATAGTATTACACGGTGTATGTGTGTGTGTGTTTGTGTGTGTGTGTACACATAGCTCAAATAGGGGGTCCCATGATACTAAACTGTCTCCTACGTATGCCTGCTTCACTGTGAAATAACTAAAGTGCAAACCAAAGAACCTTTGCTCTTTCCTTCTGCTTTGGCCCATGAGTCACACCTCACTTTCATACAGATATCTGTCTCAGAGGTCATCATGTACAAGTGATGGTACTGCAGTGTTACTGTACTTGGTGGTCACTTTCATGGTGTGTGAAATAACTCAGCGAGGTGTGTGTTCATAGGAGCTAAGCGGTGTTGCAGGCTCTGTCTGTCAAGCAGCTTTGGAAAGCTGAGCACATGGACTGCTTTGTTATGGCAAAGTTCCTAGTACCAGCTTTGGGCCAGTAGAGTTTGGGCCGAGACACTGGTAAACATTTCCAGGCCCTTCACTCATTCCTGAGTGTGTGCAGAGACAGTTTTCTGCAGTGGGCTTCTTCCCCTCCCTCCTCTTGTTCACCTGCTCTTCAGTCCCTGCTTTGCTGGGCCAGCACCACTTCTTGTAACTATGTAGTTGCATCTCTTTTCTGAAGTTATCACTGTTTGTCCTTTTCCATTTCCATGACTGAGTACATGACCAAGCAATGTAACCTTCGTCCACAATGACCCCTCTTCCAAAGGCCCATGTATGTTTAAAGTCTTGGTTTTCAGCTTGGCACTGTAAGGGAGGGATAATGTACCCTCTCCGAAGTGGGGACTATGAGGAGGTCTTCAGGTCATGGGGGGTGCCCTTAAAGGGACTAGTGTGACCTCAGCTTGCTGTACATGTATTCTGTAATGTGTACTTATCATAGGCTCCAAAGCAGTGGGGCAAACGTGCATGGATTGAAACCCTTCCTTCCCTGTTAGTGTCTTTAGTGATGGAAGGCTGGCCAGCACAGCCAACACAGCTGAGTCTTTGTCTTTCTAGTGGGACAGGTGTGTGTTTCCTCAGCCATCTTCTCACTCACTGGGACAGTTTCCCTAGAACCTACCTCCATGTTCACCACCCAGTCCTCATGATAGAGTGGGCTGTGTCCTCAGTGAGTATACTTTGCAGAATGAGGTGTCCCTCAGGAAGTGGCCTGCCTAGAGACTCTTCTGTCCTGAATGGGAAAGCAGTAACTAAACTAACCTTAAATCATTTCAGGGTGCATTGACAATGGATATGTGAAGTTCAAGGTGATAAGTTTAAAAAATAACAGAGAGCACCTACCTCTTATTGGAAAAGTTGGCCTTGCATGGAGAACTAATGTTTTTGATGGCTTTATTGAGGTAAAAACAAAAAGTTTTTTTCAAGTTACTTTATGTATAATAAAATGTCTGTTGATATGTATATATAATTCTTCCTTAAAAAATATTCTGGTTGTGTAGATCTTTGAGGTCTTTTAGCAGAATGAGATATTCATCAAGTGTTTATTTAATATTTTGCCTTAGTTACTGTTCTCCTGAGGTGAAGAGACGACCATGACCAAGGCAGCTCTACAGTTCTAGAGGGTTAGTCCATGATCCTCATGGTGGAAAGCAGATAGGCATGGCCCTGGGGCAGTATCTGAGAGTGTGCATCCTGATCTACAGGTGTCAGGCAGAGAGGGAGAAGGAGAGAAAAGGAAACAGAGACGCTAAGTCTGGTGTAGCCTTTTGAAACCCCAAAGCCCACCCCCAGTTCGCACCTACTTGAGTAAGACCACCCCTCCTCATCCTTCCCAACCACTTCTATTACCTGGGGACTGTGCATTCAAACACAGGAGCCCATGGTGGGCACTCATTACACCATGACAAGTATCTTTGCTCTCCACTCTCTTTGGAGTAGAATGGGCAGGTAGACTGTAGCTGTGCTTGAATAGCTCTTACTGTACCCTCCACTCCCTCACACATTCAGTCAGTCTGTCCAGTGGAGAGAGAGGGCGCTGAAGGTTGGCACAGGCAAATAGCATTTGCTGGAAGCATTCTTACCCATTTGAAGGCTGTATGGTTATAAGTTCCTGTTTTGGTTTCTAGGATCTTTTTGAGCAGCTTAATGACAGTAGCCACATGGAGGGGAAGGTTGTGTAGTGTTGGAAACTGTCAAGGAGGGAAGAGAAGTTCGCTGAGGTCTCCCATGGTTCCATCTCCCGTGTGACTGTGTGCCCGTTTCCTCTGGTCCTCTTTACTGAATGGGGTGGAGTCTGGGAACCACAGGCACGGCTGTGCCGGCAGACAGCCTCTTGTGCTTGCTCATTTCCCCTTTGCTGTGGACATCTGGGGAGAGCGCTGACGACAGGGACCGGGACCAAGGGTTGCTGTGGAGCCTGATCTGCTAAGCTCTTTGGGATTTGTTATATCTATAAGCAAGTGTTAACCCTTGGTAAAAAATATCTATGTCGTATATAAAAGATTACTATTTCATAGCTTTGAATACAGGTATGACCTTTTATTTTTCTATAATAGACTGAAGTGACCATGAAATAAAACACATTAAAATAAAATATTAAGGTTAAATATAGACCATGAAAACAGAGAGAGAGAGAGAGAAAGAAAGAAAGAAAGAAAGAAAGAAAGAAAGAAAGAAAGAAAGAAAGAAAGAAAGAAAG